CCGCACCTGTTATCAACCAGAAGCAAAAAAGTGGACAGAAACATGTAATGAGCAAACCTTGTACTTCATTCTGAATATGTCACAATTGATGCCGAACCTTGTAATTATTCTGAATATGTCACGATTCATACCGAACCTTGTAATTATTCTGAATATGTCACGATTCATACCGAACCTTGTAATTATTCTGAATATGTCACGATTGATGCCGAACCTTGTAATTATTCTGAATACATCATGATTGATGCCGAACCTGGTATTTATTCCGAGTATGTCGCRATTTCCTGTAGTAGCCACTTACCATCATTTGGCAAGCTTCCTTTCACATGTTTTGAATATCCAATTGTTACCAAATGGAAGTAACAAAGTGAATGAACAGCATTAACAAATACTTTGTCCCTCCCACAGTTGTTTATGAAAGACAAATACTCCTGAGTACATCCATCAGTGATCATCAAGCGAAGTCTCCTTGTGACCACTGGGCCCCAGAATCTAGAAAGGCAATTCTTGAACAGCATGTTGAATACCCAAGCTTGGCTGCTAGGGACAAATGCTCTTCCACCGTTGAATGCCAAGTTATTTCCATCCAAGAATGCCAATGTAAACAGCTCTTTTTTCTCTCTGTTTGTTCCAAAAGTAGTATCACAGCAACAAAATTCTGGAAACATTCTCACCCTCCTCATCTCCTCATTACTTGCAAACAAAAAAATTAGTAGCAGACGGCCAGCAGTATCGACAAGGTTTGATTGGAACATTGCCTTGAACCTTTCATATGACTGTGCGTCACAATCAGTCGTGTTCAGTGGGATGCGATTTAGATAAATTTCTTTGTCCACCATTGTTCTCTCTCTTGCTCGCATTCCCAACAAAAGCCCCTCCAGTGGTGAATATGTCACATACAAATAGTTGACATCATTTCGTTGATCAAATGCCTCAATCAGTTTGTCGGCACTTGAAGCTCTTGATGATAATCTACTCACACTATCTTTCTCCTTTTGGGACAAGTAACGAAWTTGCTTGTCTGTCCATGTGATTCCTGCTTGGAGCTCATCCCTTATATTTAGCAGTGCAACTGAGGCAGAGCAAGTGAAACTCAACTGATTGCATTGTAATGCAAGCTCCTTCTCTGATCTGGACATTGATCTTACAGATACTCTTAACTGCTCTGGCTGCATTTTCCAGTGTCCATTGTGTCGACCAACATTGGCTTTAGTTGGTGCCAATGTCCACTGGCCAGAGTGATTTTCAGAAGGAACAGTCATACTCAATATCATTGCAAAGTTACATACATCATCTCGACAAAGAGGCCGCCTTGTGCTCGTTTTTCTTTGATTTTGAACATTCTTTGTCTTCTCGTATGGCCTATTGTGCTGGCAGCACAACCTGATATATGCTCCAAATTTCCCAGATTTTGCMAACTCGTTCTGACTTTTTGAAGACCTGGTTACAAGTAAGAAGCCAGTCTTTATGCTTGCCAACTTCAAGGACATGATCAACATGGATTGTTTGTCACGGCMATCAAAGTGAGAGGGAAATGTGTAGGACTTTCCTCTCCTGAAAAGGTCAGACAGATTGACCAACACAGGATCTTCACTTTCCTTCTTTTGTGGATCAGGTATGGCAAC